TATATATGTGCGAGGGGCACACCAAACGTTATTTTTACCTAACCATGAACTGGATCGCTAACAACAACAACAACCTAACCATGAAGGAATGAAGGAAGAAAGCTGAAAATTGTTGTGAAAACCAACAATTATCTTCCTAGATAGCATGTCAAAATTTGGGGGAATTTCCGAGTACTGGTTTTACCACCAGCGCACTGTCAGTGAACGGGGGCATGTTGTTCTCCAGTTTCAACATACAAATGGAGAAAATTGAGCACAGGGCAGTAGTGAGGTTTTTGTTCTTGCAAGGCAAGCAACCACAGGATGTTTTTACCAAAAGGCATGCCGCATATAGAAGTGATTACCCATCCTATGCTGTGATGAAATTTTGGTATGAAAAATTTTAATGCGGATTCATGGACATTGAAGATGACCACCGTGAAGGTCGCCCAGTGACAGCAACAACAGAAGAGAATGTGTTGAAAGTCAAGAAACTCGTGTTGTCTGATAGGCGGGAACAGTCGAACGTTTGAGCAAAGAAACTAGGCTTAGCTTTGGATCAGTTGACCGAATCTTTAATAAACATTTGAACAGGACCAAGGTTTGTGCGAGATGGGTCCCACGTTTGTTGACTCCTCCTCCAAAAGTACAACGTGTGGTTTGTTGTCAAGAATTGCTTGCTCTGTATGAAAAGGAAGAAACTAATTTTTTTTAAAGACTTGTAACCATGGATGAGACATAGGTCCACCACTACGATCCTGAGTCAAAATCTTCATCAAAGCAGAGGAAACCGCCCTCGTCTCCAACACCAAAGAAGGCAAAGGTGCAGCCATCAGAGGAGACGTGATGCACTCCGTCGTTTTGTTTTACCAAGCAGGAGTGATTAGAACAGAATATTTGGAAAATGGACTTAAGATCACCGAAGACCTTTATTCTAACCGGCTATAGAAATGACGAGAGGCTATAAAAGAAAAACGATAAGGAAAGATCGGAACGTCATTATGCTGCTTCACGACAACGCGCCAGCACACACTTACACAAAAAATGCAGAAACTGCGGGAGAAAATAGCTATGAAATTTGGCCACTTCCATCCTATTCTCCAGATTTAGTCCAGTCATGACATTTTTTATTTCCCAAACTAAAAAAAAAAAAAGGTTTAAAAGGAAGACATTTGGAAAGTGATGATGAGGTCAAAGAAGCGGCAGAGGGCCGTTTTCTGACATAGAGAGGGTCTTCTATTCTCAAGATGGCAAAATTATATAACTGTGGGAGGCGACTACGTCGAGAAAGACTAAGCTTAGCACAGTGAAATCCTGTTATAACGAGAGGGGAGGGACCGGTAGGAAATGTCCGTTATAGCAGGATTCTCGTTGAAAGGGATCCAGGAATAAATTCAAAGGAAATAATAAAGTAGACCTAAACTATGTGTTTGTTGTTCTGTATAGTTCTTTTGGTTATCTCCTCTGATGATGGCTTTGTTCAACATGACCTCTAGGTCTTACTTGATCAAAAATTGAAGTAGGTTTCTTTCTCTAGCTCTAGCAATGTTGACAGCTCGGCGTTGACGATCAGAACGAAAGTTCTCTAGACTAACTCTAGGCTAACTCGCCCGCTGTGTCCCCCCCCCCCCCCCCCCCCCCC